TGTGGTGGGTGGGGCGGGCGGGGGCGGGGGTGTTTCATTACCAACTTGATGACATGGAATTGATTATTTTGAAGTTATAAAATGATATAACTAGGAGTAATTTCCTTTTTCATTCTTGACCTCGTTGGATTGATGAGTGTCCCTGACAAAATTTTGTGGTTAATAGTTAAGCCATGAAATCGACTAGTGGGCCATTTGTAGTTAGAAGTTGACTTCTGTTCATGGCTTAATACTTTTTGACAAAGTCATCTTTTCTTTTTAAGTATATAAATCGTTTTATATTTAATTCACAAATAATTCACTGAAGAAGAGAAGACAGAAGAGTCAAGTAAATTAGTTTGAAGTCAGGAGGATCATTTTCGTAGGGACTCGTTCAACTTTTTTTGGTTTTGTTTTATTTTTGATGGGCAATCTTGAAAGTGATCTTAACCGTATAATATGGGGCAGCGCCTTTTGACGTGCCTTTTGTGTCAGGAATTTTAACAATTTCATTTGAAACTAATGCTTATATATGCTGCCTGAAAAAAGAAAGTAAATAACATGGTAAATACTTACCAGGTGTTTACACCAAACTATATTAGCTCACTATGATTAATTAATTTAATTAGATGAGAATGCATGTATTTTATCATGGTTAAATGATTGAGGCCCATATGCAAAACACATATCATACATCTATTGGTTTAGTGTAAACACCCGGTGCGGGTAAATTTTACATTTGGTCAGAATGGTGAAAAAGACTTGAATGATGACTGGGTCAGTTTCGGTTAGTTTGAATTTTTTTCCAAAGGTTGGTTGGAGTTTGATAGCTTTGGACATTTGGTTATGCATTTATTAACATTTTTTTGGTTGAAAAGATAAACATATTATAGATAGTTAAATAGGTACATAAAAGTATGATGGATGCATGTATTGCATCAGATTAGTACAACTAGAACTAGGAACATTAGCTACTACATCACGATTACTACTAAAAACAGTACTACTAGTACTACTACTAATTAACATAGGATTTGATTTAGGTAGTCTTCTACGTAGCATTCCTGCCTGATCTTGCTGGTAGTAAGTTGACACAAAAGGGGGAGGTCTTGAGAACAGTATACAACGAGCCTCCACATTAACTGCTCCATGCTTAGCCAAACCATCTGCCACACTGTTTTGCTCTCGATAGATGCTTTGTACCTTTGGCTCATCCAGCTGACGGAGTAAGAACCTACAATCATTTATTATATTAGTATATTTGATAGTAGGGGTAATAAGCAAATCCAGTATTGCAATTGCATCTGTCTCAATAATCAGTGGTGAAAGATGATGTTGAATAGCTAATTTGAGCCCCATTAGGAGTGCTAGTAGCTCTGTGTGTAGGCTGGAGCCATGTGGTGCACGTCCTGTAAAACCTAAAACCCAATTGCAAAGCTGGTTTCTAAAACATCCACCAATACTACAATTAACTTGACTAAGAGATGTGGATCCGTCTATATTTAACTTAAAGACCTGCCCATCAGGTGGATGCCATTTAATGTAAAGAGACAGTCGTGATGGAATACTTTTTTAGGGTTTGTGAGATAGTAGAATTCTGCAGCCTGGTTATAAACTAGTTGAACACTTGTTTTAAGATGAGTGTGCTCAAAGAAATTCTTATTTCTTATAGTCCATAGCTGCCATAGAGCGAATGGTAAAAGGATGGATAAGGGAATGCAGTTGTAGGATGGCAAAGGTTGCTGACTTATGAAAGTCTGCCACCAAGACATAGTATTTGCAATGACTGGACGAACCAAACGATTTATATTTAGCTTAAGAGCCGCCCAAAGTGCTATAGCATTGTGACATTCAAAGAAAATATGTTGTGTGGTTTAAGGAACTAGGCCACATTGTGAACATTAAGATGAATTGATAATTTGTATTTTTTGTAAATACGCAGCTGTGGGAAGCCTGTCATGACATATTAACCATATAAAAAAAGAGATCTTAGGAGGTATTCGGAGTTTCCAAATCCATTTGTAGTTTATGACTTCAGGACCTATGGAATGATAAACTGTTTGTGTAAGAGCATGATAAATAGACTTGACTGAGAACAAACCATTTGGTGTTAGTGCCCAAACAAGCTGATCATAATTGGTAGGTACCATTGACATATAAGAATCAAGGATTTGAACTTCTAATGGGGAAGGTAAAACAAAAGGCAACCCATGTAAATGCCACTTATGATCATGAAAGTAGGCAGACACTCTTTTATTAATCTCCCCTTTGGGTAGAGGCCCATAAATATAATTACGAACGAGAGAATTATAATCTAGCCATGGTTCCGTCCAGAAATTGACATGATTACCATTTGTTAAGTTCCATTTATAGCCTAGGCTAAACAGTTGATGAAAAAGCGAAAGTTAATAGTAAGTGGTAATTAAGAGAGTGTTTGGTGCGAAGGAAAATATTTTTCGAAAAATATTTTTTTATTTTTTTTATTTTTGGTTGGCTTAAATGATTTTTAGAAAATATTTTTTCGTAAACTCATTTTTCTCAAATTGGAGGAAAATATTTCCCCTATGAAGAGAAAGGAAAATATTTTCCAAACTCTTCTTCAACCTTTCCTACCCTATTCCCCATCCCCTCCATCTACGCCACACCCCATCTCACCCCTACCCCACCCATCCCTACCCCCACCCCTTCCACACCCACCCACCCTCGCCCCACTTAAACAAAAAAAGTACTTTCTTTTCATGGTGTAGAAAAAAATATTTTCTTTCATTTCAACAAATAATATAGTAAAACGTATTTTCTTTTCATGATGTAGAAAAAGTATTTTATTTTATTTTAACAAAATAAATATTTTTTCATGTTGTAGAAGAGTACTTCTTTTTCAACCAAATAAAAGAGTATTTTCTTTTTAGTTATGGAGCACAAATTTCAACGTTGTTTTTGCATGAAAAAGTAAAGTAGCAGCACATTAGTCCCTTTGGGTTCGCGTGAATATTTAAAGATTAATTATATTTTTGAAAGAAAATAGAGCCCTAAAATATTGGTATTGGGGGGGGGGGGGGGGGAGCATAGTAAACATGAGGATTTGGGGGAAGGGAGTGTGAGGAGAGTAGCATAAAAAAATTATTTTCTTAAAAAATATTTTTTCTACTCACCAACAAAACAAGAAAAAATATGTGATAAAATAAAATATTTTCTAGGAAAATATTTTCCACGGCAAACATTTTCCTTCGTACCAGTCACACCCT